TTGAGTTGGGAAAAGAGCCATTTTATAGTTCGAGAGGGTATAGTGTTGGGACACATTGTGTCCCCTCGAGGTATAGAGGTTGATAAAGCTAAGGTTGACCTCATTGCAGGCCTTCCTTTACCCAATTCTATGCGTCAAGGCCGATCCTTCTTAGGACATGCAGGTTTTTACCGTAGGTTCATCAAAGACTTTAGTAAAATATCCCGTCCTTTATGTAGTTTACTTGCTAAGGACGCACCTTTTATCTTTGATGAGGTATGTGTGAAAGCCTTTGAAACTCTGAGAATGGCCCTTACTACCGCCCCAATCATGAAATCACCAGATTGGTCGCTTCCCTTTGAAATCGTGTGTGATGCCTCAGATTGTGCTATTGGGGCTGTGTTGGGCCAAAGGGTTAATAGGGGCACCATATGCTATATACTATGCTAGCCGCACTCTCTCGGATGCACAATTGAATTACACTACCACCGAGAAAGAGTTGCTAGCTGTGGTCTTTGCCCTAGATAAATTCAGGTCCTATCTCCCAGGTTCTAAGGTCATTGTGTTCACGGATCATGCTGCTTTGCAGTACTTACTGTCCAAAAACGAGACCAAACCTAGGTTGATTAGGTGGATTCTTCTCCTTCAGGAGTTTGACCTAGAAATTCGGGATAAGAAAGGGTCCGAGAATGTAGTTGCGGATCATCTATCTCGCATCTTTATTGAGCACACGAGTGATTCCTTGGCTTTGCATGACTCGTTTCCAGACGAGCAACTTCTTGCGGTTACACACGCGACCCTCCCGTGGTTTGCTCACATAGTGAATTACTTAGCGGTTGGTGAAATTCCAAAAACTTGGTCTAAGCAAGACAAAGACTGGTTTTTCTCAAAAGTCAAGCACTATTTTTGGGAGGACCCGGAATTGTTTATATATTGTCCGAATCAAGTGGTTCGGCGTTGTGTGCCCGAGAGTGAAACCCATAGCATTCTCACCTTCTGTCACTCTCATGCATGTGGCGGCCATTTCAGTGGGCAGAAAACGGCAGCCGAGGTCTTATAATGTGGGTTCTATTGGCCCTCTACTTTCAAAGATGCCCATAACTTCTGTAGAGCTTGTGAGCGTTGTCAATGCATGGGCTCTGTGTCACGGAAAGATATGATGCCGATGACCCCTATTTTGATTGTTGAGATTTTTGATGTTTGGGGTATCGACTTTATGGGTCCCTTTCCACCATCCTTTAGATTTGAATACATTTTGGTGGCTGTGGACTATGTCTCCAAGTGGGTGGAGGTAATGGCTACCAAAACGAATAACCACAAGGTTGTGATTAAATTCCTCCATGAGACAATTTTCTGCCATTTTGGGTTCCCACGTGCCATAATTAGTGATGGTGGCAAACATTTTTGCAATCGTTTCTTTGAGGCGTTGGTGCACAAATACATGATCACTCACAAGGTTGGCACTCCCTATCATCCCCAGACTAGTGGACAAGTAGAGGTTTCTAATAGGGAGATTAAACACATCCTTGAAAAAACTGTGAGACCCGATAGGAAATATTGGTCTACTAGGTTAGTGGATGCACTTTGGGCCTATCGCACTGCATACAAGACACCCATAGGGATGTCTCCGTATAGGATTGTGTTTGGAAAACCGTGCCATCTCCTTGTTGAGTTAGAACACCAGGCTTTATGGGCTATTAGGAAGTTTAATTTTGATATGACCAAAGCTGGTGACCACCAGAAACTCCAACTCAATGAGTTAGAGGAACTTTGTAATGCCGCATATGAGAACTCTAAAATTTACAAAGCTAGGACTAAGGCAATTCATGATAAACTCATGATAAATTCATTTCTTGTAAGTCCTTTGAGCCTCACCAAAAAGTGTGGTTGTTCAATGCCAAATTGCGTTTGTTCCCGGGTAAACTCCGGTCTCTGTAGGATGTCCCATATGAGGTAGTGGAAGTCTTTCCGCATGGGGCGGTTGATATTAAAAACCCACAAAATGGTACAACCTTCAAGGTCAATGGCCAACGATTGAAACATTTTGTGGATGATATTGGGAAAGGGGAGATAATTGAGGTTGTCCACTTGACGGACCCAATCTATTTTCCATAGATATTGTTTTGAGTCTAGGAAACTTTAAATCCTCTAAAGGTGTAATTCCTTTGGTGTTTGTTGTGCCCGAACGGCATCTGACGGTCTGGTATAGCCACCTAACTGTGTTTGTAGTGAGTTCCTAGGAGACCAACTGAGACGGTGGAAACTAGAGTTCGAATGGCAAAGCCTAGAACGCAAAGGTTTGGAATTTCCGGGATTAGAGTCTAGTTTAAATACCTAAGGGTGTGGAGATTGCTTCAAAACCACCTCGGCTTGAACTCTGTATGGCAGCCCCATAGGTCGAGTTAGCTTTATGCGCCTCGATTCTGAATACCGAATCAACCTAGTCTGTCACCCTGTTGGAGAATAGGGAAAGTTACAAACACTATTAGGGAGAAAAGTAGTACCCGTGGTTTTCGCGAGAAGATTATACTTTGGTTGCACATTTTGACGTTTTCCAAGTACCATTTTTATTTCAGATGTGCAATAAAGGTAGAATGGGTTTGAAAAAAATTTAGGTTGTGATTTGGGTTTTTTTCCCTGCACGTGCGGAAAAACCCACGCACGTGCGGCAAGAGCACCTCCAGCCCAAATTCGGCACTGTTTTAATTGCAGGTGCGAGGCTTGGTGCGGCAACGATCTACGCACGTGCGGCTATCTCCGGTGCACGTGCGGGAATTTTTTTTTCAAACCAACTTCGACACTGCTTTAAAAGCAAGTGCGGGGCTGGTGCGTGGTGGTCCCGCACGTGCGTGGATTAATGCCGCACGTGCGTGACGGCGTTTTTTTTTTTTTTTGTTTTTTTTAAATGATTTGTTTTTTTTAAATGCGACTTGGTGTATTTATTTATTAGTTCATTTTATTTTATTTTCAACTTAAAAAAAATATTAAAAAAAAAAGTCATGGACCAAACTCTTAGGGGCGGGTTTGGGTCGTGATAAGCCATGTTGTCATGTTTGAAAAAAGTACACTAAAGAATTTTTAGTTTTTTTGAAGTGTCACATTATACTTGTCACGTTATTACGTTCGAGAAAAGTAAAATAAAGAGTTTTTATTTTTTTGAAGTGTCACATCATACCTGCCACGTGATTAGATTTGAAAAAAGTACACTAAGAAATTTTTATTTTTTTTGAAGTGTCACATCATATCCGCCACGTTGTCACGTTTAAGAAAAGTACACTTAGGAGTTTATTTTTTTAGCGTATCACATCATACCTACGACGTTGTCACGTTTGAGAAAAGTACACTAAAAAATTTTTAGTTTTTTTGAAGTGTCACATCATACTCACCACGTTGTTACGTTTAAGAAAAATACGCTAATGAGTTTTTTGAAGTTTTATTCTATATTGTCACATTTGGGAAAAGTACACTAAAGAATTTTATTTTTTTTAAAGTAAAAATTTTGAAGTGTCACATCATACCCGGTTGTTACATTTAAAAGTCAACGTGACACCCAATCACAGTCATCCATCACACTAACCCCCATACACATTACACTCAATGGCATTTTAGTCATTTTATGTACATAAGGACCAAGTGGTGCATAAGAAAACATTTAGGACTATCTGGACCATAAGTTCAAAAAATGGGATTTACCAGTCAATTTCCCTTAAACTTTTACCATTCAAAATTTATTTGATTTTTGTTAAAAAATAAATCTGAATCAATCTTAAAATTTAATAAAGGTTTAGAGTATTTAATTAATGTATTTATTTAACGAAAATCCCAAACGAGTTTCTAAGTAATTAACTGTAGCCTTGTTCATACTTTATGGTTATGCCTGAAAATGTTTATAATTTGACTTTATTTAACATAAATTAGTTTATCTTTTATTTGTCTTTTTCCTGTGTCATTTTTAAGAATTCAACCAAAAGTGTTTTTTTTTTTATTTATAAAAAAAGTCAATAGGTTGACATTTTAAACAAACAAAGTTTGCATTAAAAAAGATATTCTTTATCAAATATTTTCACTATTTTATTTCATTTCTTATGTATAACTTGATGAACCATGATTATGATCATTAACATTACTTGTACTTATAACCTTATCATTCATTTTATTCTATTTTTCTGATTTAAATTATGAATTTGCAATCTATGATTATTTGATATTGTTATCAATTACTTTATGTGTTAGATGTTAGATGGATATGAAGAATGGGTTAAGGGGAAAAAAATAGCATTGAGGATGACAGATATTTGATTCAAATGTTTAAAAATGTGACCAAAAAAAAAAATCATTAGAGCAGAGTATAGAAAAATACAGCCTCACTTTCCTTGTGTTGACACTTTATTACAGCACATTAATGTATACAAAATAACCTATTGAAACTCTCAGTCTTGTTGAGAGTTCTTGAGACATCTATGTTTTTAGATATCTCACCTAAAAAATTAATTCCAAAACAGTATGAAAAGCTTCTAGATATCTCACCTAAAAAATTAATTCCAAAACAGTATGAAAAACTTCATGAAGGAAGAAGTGACTCTCTTCTTTTTGGGCAAATTATAATAATAATATTCTTATATTGTGTCATTCTAGTCTTTATAATTTCGATCGACTCAATTTGGAGCATAAAAATGCATCTTTGAACCGGAATGTATCATGCTTTTTAAAGATAAAATTATAAACTTACTCTACTCAGTTAGTAAATCTTAACCAAGTGACCATTTTTTTAAATCCAAAATCCTAACTAATATTATCAAAATTGAGCCAATTGAGAGAGAACATATGGACCAAAATGACATGAGGAAGAAAATGTAAGTATGACCCTCATAAAATTTGCCTTTTTTTTATGAGAAACCTCTCCAAAAGTAGAGTCACCTCTGGATACCTGCAATCATTGGCAAACTATGTGCAATAGTAACCGAATCTAGGATGTTCGGATTTACGGTTCATCCCAAGACAATGCCCCTTTTACCACTGGGCTACCCGTGCCGGTTCAACGAAGCCTTCTCACAACAGGATACTGATCTCTTCATCAAAGCAGGCCCTTTTGGCAAAGATCTCCCAATTGAGGAATCACCCATTGATCTCATCAACCTCTGATTGACCTCAACCTTCTTTGCAACATTACCCATAGCAAATTCCTTCACTTTCACCAATTGGGAATTTGCATTCCCATCATATTCTTCATATTGTGCGTTACCCATAGCAGCACTAATCACTAAAGCCGACGAAAAATCTACAGGCACAGATCTCCTCGTTGGTCGAATCTCATCACCCACCTCTTGCTTCACAGTTTCATGTCTCTTTTCTCCACTTTCAACCCCTAATTCACCTCCTTCCTCTGTTTCTCTCCTCAATTCACCACTACCCTCTGGAATCACAGCCCGGGTTTCCTCCCAAACAATCGAATTCTGAACACTCTGCTCCGGCGATGGTGTTGGCAATCTGGCCGGGTTAGTGACAATACCGGCTCGACAAAGGGGACAATTGATGTGTGATCTGAGCCAGATATCAATACAGTGTATGGGAAAAGCACGGTTACATTTGGGCAATAATCTAAGAGTCTCATCTTCTTGAAACTAATTCAAGCAAACAGAGCACTCTGTTCCTTCAACAATTCCATCGACTCCGTTATACTTACAAACTGGAATTGAATGGATGATCGATGGGTTCAAACCAATGGTTCGGATGTACCAAATCGGATGATCCAACACTGGTCCACGATCAAGAAAATCATAATGGGTCTCTTCTTGTTGTGGTGGTGGTGGTGATGATGATGATATTGTTCGGTTTCTTTGCCTATTCTTGTAGTGTTTGTAGATTATGTGGAAACAGAGGAGGAGGAAAATGGCAGTGAGAATGGAAAGAGGGATGATGGATTTGAGAGGGAATTTTTTGGGGGTGTTTGGAGAGCAAGAAAGTGTGGGGGAGGGAGGGTCTGGTGGTGGTGGTGGTGGTGGTGGTGATAAAGAGTAGCGACAGATGGAGCGACACATAGGTATGCGTATGTCTGGGCAGGTACCATTCTTGTTTTGTGATGGGTCGTAATAAAATTGTGAACAGATTGGTGGTATGCCTGTATTGGGTGAATCTTAAGGATAACTTTCTATGATTGTAGGCCATGATTGACAGAGTTAGGCCTTTGATGGATTGCGGGAGAGAGATGAGAAGCTGGTGAAGAGAGAGAGAGAGAGAGAGAGAGAGAGAGAATATTGGGGTTGTGTTTGTTGCATACAGACTCTGTGTGTTGATTAGGTTGGTGGGGCGATAATGGAGTCCGGATCGTCTGCCACGGTTCCTGCCGTGGTCCAAAACGACGTCGTTTTGGACCTTTTTTTTTTTTTTGTTTTTGGGCTCTCTCTTTGCTGTTAAGCCTCTTTCTTTCCTTTCATCTCTCACCCAAACACACAGACGACGTCAGATCATCCACTCTAGAGGATCACTCTAGAGAGTTACTCTAGAGGATTCGAACGCGTGTTGATTAGGTTGGTGGGGCGATGATGGAGTCCGGATCGTCTGCCACGGGTTCCTGCCGCGGTCCAAAACTACGTCATTTTGGACCTTTTTTTTTTTTCCTTTTTTTCTCTCTCAAATGTTTGAGAACCCAACCCTAAAAACACAGAGGCAAGAGAAGAGAGGAGAAGAAGGAATCTGTGAAGCTAACAAAACAGAGAGGAGAAAGGGAGGTTGTGTTGGCTTTGTTGCTTAATGATGGAGATGAACAAGCCAAAGGAGAAATCAAAGAGGGACTGTAATATTGATTTAAGATGATGAACACAGTGATGAAGATTGGGTTTGGGGCCAAACTTCCCCCCCACCAAAAAAAAAAAAAAACACCAGAAGCAACCGAGAAGAAGGAAGGAACAAAGGAGAAGAAGAAGAAGAAACAAGGAACAAAGAATATTGCTCTCTCTGTCTTTTCATTTACCTTCCTTATTGCTTTTCTCTCTCCTCTTTGATTGTTTCTACAAACCCAAAAAAAACCCATCTTTCTTTATATTTTCTATGATTCTCAAGAACCAAAAAATGCTGAAGCTAACCAAGCTCAGAATCAATTTTTTTCTTTTCTTTTCTACAATTGAAAATTGAAGTTCCATGTTTTGTTGTTTAATTTCCACGGAAATTGATTCAATTTTTTTTCATATTTTTATATTTGGATTTCAGGTGTGTCTCCGCCGTCGTCGCCGTTGCCTCGCCGTCGCCTAGCTGTCTGATCGTCAGCGGTGACTTCATTTCTTTGTTCATCCGTTCGTGAGATGCTCTACGATTCAAAAGGGATTGAAGAGAGACCCAAATCAAATCCAAAAGATGTGGAAAATGGAAAGGGACTTACATTGGGAGAGAAGCTGAGAAGTGTGGAGAATGATGGAAGAATCTCTCAAGGATTCTGAGTAAAATCCACCTTCTGGGTGGGAATTCAGATTCAATTTGGCAGTAATTTGTGATGCTGAAACTGAAGCTGAATCCATATCTGTTATTTGAGCTTTTACTTTTCGTGAGCGAGGCCTCTCTCTCTCTCTCTCTCTCTCTCTCTCTCTCACTCTCTACGATTTTATTTAAAAAAAAAATAAAAAATTAAAACGACGTCGTTTTGGACCGCAGCAGGAGATGCGACGAGAAACCAACCACGGCAGACGATCCGGACTCGCGATAATGGAGATGAGGGAGGGAACGGATCGTCGGTCGCCCTTCCCTGTCGCCTTTTCCTGTCGCCCCCAAAACGACGTCGTTTTGGGGGCGAATTTTCAAAAAAAAAAGGAAGGGCGACCGACGATCCGTTCCCTCCCTCATCTCCATTATCGCGAGTCCGGATCGTCTGCCGTGGTTGGTTTCTCGTCGCATCTCCTGCGGCGGTCCAAAACGACGTCGTTTTAATTTTTTATTTTTTTTTTAAATAAAATCGTAGAGAGTGAGAGAGAGAGAGAGGCCTCGCTCACGAAAAGCTCCCTCTTCCTCTCCTTCCTCCCTCTTCTCTGCGTTTTTTTTTTTGAAAATTTGCCCCCAAAACGACGTCGTTTTGGGGGCGACAGGTGATCCGGATTCAGATGAGGGAGGCTTTGTTCTGTTCTTTCTGTCGGCTCATGTCCTTTCTGTTTGCTTTTGTTCTGGAATCAAGTTCGACTATAGCAGGCTTGGATTGGTTGGGCCAGCTCCAGCCCGGCCCAGCCTGGCCCATCCAACTTGATCTGTAGAATTTTAACATACTATTGATTTTCGGTTAATGGATACTACCATTTAACAAGTTGTGAAAAAAGTTACTCACCTTCCATTTACAACACCTCTCACAAAGGTATATGACTTTGTTTGATTAATTTACTGGATTGTTTGTAAGTTTGTAATAAAAGAATTTGTGTTAGACTGTTTACAATAAACTTTATCTATAATTTATAAGAAAAAATAATTTAAATATGTTTGACAGTTGAGAGATGAGTGTTTTTTTTTTTTTAATATAGTTTTCACAACTTTCAACTTTCCAAACCAGGTCAAACTTTGAAAAGTTCTTCTCTTGTAAAATGACTGTGAACCCACAATTTTTATTCACAAAATATCTATAATTTAAAAAGGTATAAATCAATTTATCCTAAATGCAGGTGGCGGTGATAAATTCAATCCCAAATCGTGATGTCAATTACACCTATTTAAAACTTGTTTAAATTAATCCAAATTTATAAACAAATTTAAATGAGTTGCATCTTGTAAATTCAATTAAAATTATATTTAAATTTAAATGAGTTGGCTACTTTCCATTGATTTCAGCCCATTAAATTGTTATTAGTCTTGCTGGTACGAAAATGAGAAAAGGGAAAAAATAAGAGTAATGAGCATGATTATTTTTATTATTATTGTTATTTTATTTTTTTCTGGCAATTTTATAATAATTATGCGTATATATTATATTATATTTATTATCTCATTTGTCATAATTGTATTAACTGAGTAAGTTCCATCATTTACGTTTGTTATCAATATAATAATAAATTTAATATCATATATAAATATAATCATTATAACATTATTTATTTATTTTTATTACCTTTTATATAGTTGATGTGACATACAAATATGAGTTAGATATTAATAACATGTAAATGAAATTTATTGTTATCATTAACATCCAACTAATATATATATATATATATATATGTCACATGAAATAATAATGTATAAAATGTGATAAATAAGATAGTCAAAAATGTTGTAAACCTTATTCCAAAACCTATTTTGAATTGTATGTTATAAATTTAAAATTGATAGAATGTGAGTTAAACTTAACATGATTATAATCCATAAATGTGTTACACCATTCTCTTTTTTTCTCTCTTATTATCTCTACAGAGTACAATTTTATTTGGAAAAAGCTTTGAAACTGTTTGAAGTATTATAATAACTTGCAAGGAAAAGGTGACTTGTACTTTAGATCATTTTGTTAGGAAAATGAAAGATAACCCTTAAGAGACCATGTCTAACGTAGCATATCATAGCACACATCATTCCTTGGCGTGTTGGGAGTCTTTCAAACCAGACATTTCTTTGCTGCATTTTCTCATACAATTTGCGTGCAAAACACTCCCCAACGCAACGCGTAAAATCCATTACAAACTTAGAAAAAAAGCTTCAAACTCGTATATTTATATATGACTAATGGATGTATAGAGGCTTTGGATTTGGATCATTCAAGCTCTTGTTTTGAAAGACAAATTTTTTCATGATGCCTATTATGTCAAATTCTTCAGGGTCTTACAAACTATAGAGTTTGGTTACAGTGCTTTATCGTTATCGGCTTTGCACTCCCAATCGGTCTCAGCCTCAGCAGCAACACCAACTCCGCCACCGTGATGCTTGGTTGTCGAAATTCAGTTATGGGGATCATTCTATGCATCGTGGTTTGAGGTCGATGATCACTGCTGCCAATAGTCGAATCAGCAGCACACCGGCTACCACTGATATGTGATTATTTTTTCTACCCTTCTTCTCTCAATAAAATCACCCAGTCCTAAAAAAGCTATTCAAATATGATGAAATCATATAGCTAATATTATCAGGTCAATATAATTTTTTCATAGATAACCTATGTAGGAATTTAGAAATAAACTATTCAAATTATCGAGTTGAATCCGTGAAGGCGCCTATAAACCCAACTAGACCTGCACTCGAGGGTGTAGTTGAATTGGTAAGACTTGGAGGTTATAACCTCTAGTTCACTAATTCAACTCTTGGCGAAGCGAATGCTCTTGCTTTTCGTCTAGGGATGAAAAGTGGTGCATTGCATCTCATTATCTTCAAATTTGAGTGTCTAATCTATCTTGAATTGGATCATGTCCTGGATTAGGGAAAAAAAAAAAAGAAACTCTAGGTAAATGGAGATTAGCCAGTTCCTTAGTTATATATATTCCAAATGATAAAGTAGTTGGTTATTTTTGTTTCTGCATTGCAGGGTAACAAAGCATGACAACAACAATGTTCAACCGTCAGTGCCACCTCCTCCTAGTAAACCCGGCTTCCCAACCTGGTATGTACTCAACTGTTTAAAATGACAACAACAAGATTCATTTAAGGTGTGACCTTCACAACAGGAACTTTAAATAAAACAAGAACGATCAAATAGTACACATTACTATGTGTTTAGGATAGGAAAGAAAAGATTAGGTACACACCTAACCTTTAACAAGTGCACAAAGTGATTGTCCAGGGACTTTAAATATGTACTATTGTAACAACCTCCGTCCTCGGCTTAGTCATGCACATGCATCTACATGATTTTTGCCTTGTTAAGTTTGTTTTTGTAAGCTCTAATTTGATTTGCCTAAGTAAAGGTCCCTGCTTCTTGTGCTATCATGTTTTGTCTAAGTGTTATATGCATGTTTTGTTCCTTGCCATGTGTGTTGAACCTAGGCTATCTGTCTTTGCTGTCTGACGCCTAGGTCATGTCTTTGAACCCCTTACACCTAAGTCGATGTGTGTGTCAACACCTAGGACCACCTTGGAACTTCTTTGGTTGACTTCCACCTTCACCCTGGCATATTAGCCGAGATGTTCATCATCTAGGCCGAGGTGTGCATCACCTGGGCCGAGATGTGTATCATCTAGGCCGAGATGTTCATCATGTAAACATTCGAGATCCTTGAACCTTGGACCTAGCAATCTCATTCCTGGACTGGGACGACCTAGGCCGAGGTGTGGTACATCTAGGCCAAGATGCAACACACCTAGGTCAATGGTTACCCTTCCTAGCCGAGATCATAGAAGCCTTTGTTGCCGAAGCCTATGTCTTGATCTGATATCTTGTCTTGCCGGAATGCCCATGCCGCTTTGCTTGTTATACAACCTTTGTCATACTCTTGTCTTTTCATTCTGACACCTTTTTGAGGAGATCCCAATCAGCCGACGCCACGTGTCCCAGTAGGGGTTTAAGTCAGCCAACAGTGAGGAAACCCATACCTTTTGTCAAACATCTTTGCCTAAGTAGAGAGAGAAGCTCTAGGAAGAAGGAAAAAGGAGTTCTTAGAGGAAGCTAGATTCCAAGCTTGATCTTCACACCTTGAGCCGTTAGATTTCCGTTTTGAGGTTAGATTCTTGATCTATGCTTGTTATTGTTTATGTTAATCTGATCGCATTGCATGATCGAGCATGGTTCATGACCCATGCATGGATTTAAAGTCTGTTTAGAAAGAGAAAATGATATTCTTATATTCTTATGTTTAGAAAGAAAAATCATATTTTGATCCGAAAGTTTGTAACAAGTTCCATGTTTTTATGTTTGTTTTCATGAAATCTTCAAGTATGGATACCCAGGTCCATGTTTTCGAACTCATATGATGAAATCTCAGTTTTGGATAACAAGTTATGATTTTTAGCGTTCATGTTCATGTTCTTGGAGAGGAAACCCAGAATCCCAGTTTCACTCTTTTCCCTAAGTGTGGTCGCCGAGACCCACTCTTGCCTAGATCCCACACCTAGGCCAAGCATCGTATCTCACCTTGGCCTATCTTGCATGAACACTTGCACTTTAGTTTATCTTGCATGCACACATTAGTCGACCTTAGTACACCTTTGTCGTCACCTTGTAACATCTCGGCAGGAAGCCGCACGCCTAGGCCTAGGAGACCTCATCTCGGCTAAGAGGTGTGGAACCTCGGCCAAGACTTCCTGAGTTCACCCAGCTAGGCCCTTTCGGCCTAAATCATCTTTGTGCATTCATTTCGAGACCTAGTTTGTACCCAGCATGTTTTCCCGAGAAGAAAAACAGTGTTTAACTTCCAGCATATGTTTTACTGTCTTGTCTTGGTTCTGGAAAGAAATGCCAAGGTCTTTTCTACCCATCTAAAAGCTTGTTTTGAAAGTGCATTGCATGACCATCTTTGAGCATTTCTTCTTGTCTTTTGAAAGTGCATTCAATAGGGTTTATTATGTGTTTGTAGGCTTTGGATCCCTTCTTTAATCCCTACACCCAAAGAGTTATGTGAGTGGTATTTCTAATAAAGTTATTTTATCAAGTTTTGATAAAAGCTTTGTTTCGTTTTACTTTGGAAAAGTATTTTGATGAAGCATGAATGTTTATCCACTTAGTTTTTGTATCAAGTATTACTTTGTTTTCAATGCATTCCTGAAAGGTCCTCCCATGCTAGGGAACGTTAAGCCTATGTAGTACCTCTGTTGAGATATCTCATTTACCACCGACGGTCTTGTACGGGTGGGTCATGTCTTCTGATTCCGGGTCGGCCACCCACGATCATGAACGGGTGTGCTCGATTCCGGCCGAATGTTTGTTATGTCGGGAATGTCATCGCATGGCATTATATAAATGTTATTAAGCATCCAAGAAAGCTTTGAAAGACTTTGATTGATGAACTTGATTCATCCCATGTTTAGCAACAAGATATTATAGGTATTGTTTTGTACAAGATCTTGGATATCATTCATCTAACCCCTTTATTATTTATATCATTCACTGAGTTTCAGCTCACCCCTCTCCCTTATATATATGTAGGTGTTGAGCAGGATGGCGGTGTCACCTAGATGTTTGTTTGCAAGATGCTTTATTTTGTTTTGTAGTTTATCTCTTTTGTATATGTCGGCTTGAGAAGCCTTTTGTTTAAGATGTAACATGTACTTTATTTTATTTGTATTCAAGTTGTAATACCATGAAAAGATGTATGACATTTTATTTGATCTATGCACAGCTCTTATGGACTATTAGTTTTAAATTTAATGCTTCCGCACATGTAAGCCCCATATATGTATACTCTGTAAGTGTGTGAATGTTTGTAAGCCGGCCTTCGGTAATCTCGGATTACTGGTCATCTCAGCACCATCCTACTAGGGGCGGGATGGGGTCGTGACAACTATAAATTTGAAATTCTTTACAATCTTTTAGGCAGCTTTCAAGTACCACATACTTTCTCAATTCACAATTCTAAAGAAGCAAAAGTGATTTTATGATTGTCTATAGTAAGGTATTGCAACAAAGGAAAGAACAAAGCCAAAGCTTTGATGGCTTATATCTGAATTTTGAACAAACTAGCTAGGGTTGGTAATATAATCAATAATATGATTGAAGGGACATATTTGTCGAGTTCAGCAAATTATTGAGGGAGTGAATTAATTTGTCATATTTTGAAATCTCTCTTTTGATTCAAAATTATTCCTGCCATGGAATTGTTGAAATAAATCAAAAAATAATTTTTTGTTCAAAAATGAAATGATCACTACTCCGTTATGGGGATATTTACCAATAAATCCTATTTGACAAACAGTTTTACCGATTGGCCCTAAGGTTATTTCTATTGTTCTGATTAGTCCTATTAGTAGGGGAATATCTTACCAGTTGATCCTATTTCCTTTGTTTGGTAACATTGAGTGGTCAAATATACCATCCCTTGTGTGTGTCACGTGACATACATCATTCCAAGGCAAAAAACATAAAGAGCCTTAGTGTACTTTGTTGATATGTGGCACCCACCGATTACCCTCATAAAGAGCCTTAGTGTACTTTGTTGATGTGTGGCACCCACCGATCACCCTTATAAAGACACGTGCCAAACACTGTGTGTCACGTGACATACATTATTTCAAGGCAAAAAGTATAAAGAGCCTTAGTGCACTTTGTTGATGTATGGCACCCACCGATCACCCTTAATGTGACACGTGCCGAACACAAATTTCGAAAACACACAAACATGAGGTTGTGCCACACCACACCATCACCTATTCAAGCGTTCAGAAAAATATGTAGTGATATTTACGTCATTGAGCAATAGAAAGGACCAAATAGATCAAAAGAAAAAAGGTTTGGACTAAATGGAGCACAATTTCAACATTTAGGATTTATTGGTAACTTTCCCTTTGTTATGTTCACATTAATTCATTTTGTATTTACTTTTAATTAAGGTAATGCATGAAAATGGAGCAATTGATTGTTTTGGTCTAGTTTTGGTTTTCTTTTGTTAAAAAAAAAATCGTGAGACCGAGGGGTTGGTTGTATATTTGCGAGTAGCAGTAATAGGAGTATTTTATACTGTCTGAATCTCTCTCGATGTATTGCATCTTCCTGTACCTGTAATTTCATGTTTTTAATGAAATTTTCACTTTGTTGATCAAAAAAGAAAATGGAATAGTTTTTTACTATCGCTTGCAATAATGCTATAAATGAATCTAACCCAGGACCAAATGAATAATGGTAAATCCATTTGTAACATTGCCGTACACAATAGTAATACTTTTTCACGAAGATGATTCCCCTTCTTTCCATACTTCAACTTGAACTATTCAAACGCTCAAACTTTGAATTATATGATAACTCAAAGTCATATAATAATAATCTGAGAAGATTTTTAATTTTTTTTTTGTATGCAGGGTAAAATGGCTTTTGGGTTCTATATTGACTTTAGTACTGCCTTTCGGGAAGAAAAAATGGGAAAAGTTGCTATTGTTAGAAGGTTTATATATTCACAATGCACATCATAGTTAATCTGCATTTGTTATGCTCTTCTTGGAAGCAAGGGTTACATTATTGCCTTGGAAAATATATATAGATAGAATCAGACTTACAAACAAAATAAAGTCATTGTTATAATTGTGATATTGTTTTTTTGCAATTCACATTTGAGTCAGTTTGTTTTGATACAACATTCGTTTTTAAAATTGAATGATGCTGTCTTGGCATTTTCATAATTAATTAAATTAAAAGTCATCTTCATTTATTGTGTACATATCCTATGTTTTAAATTCTTGTATATATTTTATGTTTAAAAAACATTACTCTTTAATATGCAACTGAGCAATCCCCCCTTGGTTTCTCAGAAAATTGAGGCTTGGGTTTCTTTGCATAAAATGGTTGGAATATTCTTTTCTTAGTTGGCATATTCTTTTCTTGGCAAAGATTGAAAATGATTTGACCAGAAAATATAGGAGAAATAATTTGACCAGAAAATATAGGAACTTTAAAAATTGTCTAGAATTTTTTTTGAAAAGGGATGTGTTTTCCATATTTAAATTTGGGGAAATTAGATTATTGGTCACTTTAGTTTGAGTGGAAGTTTCACTTTGATACTCTTTAGTTTTTAGTTTGAATGATTTGAATCTTATATTTTTAATTTTATTACAATGTGATTCTTTTATCATGCGTTATTAACATTTTGAATAAAAAAAATTACATAATAAACTAAAGAAATTAAAGTGAAATTTAAACCCAAAAAAAAAAAAAACCCACAAGGACCACTGGTGTAATTTATCCATTACACCAGTGATCCCTAGTTTGTTTTGAATTTCACCTTGTTCTCTCTTTTTTTGCACGTGATTTTTATCCGTTTAAAATTCTAACTATAAGTACAGAAGAATCACATTGTAATAAAATAAAAAAAAATAAAGTTAAAATTAAAATTATGAGAATTAGCCTTATAAAAACCTTAATCTTATTAGTCAATGGTAAATATGGGTGTTGTAGGAGAGGTGGAAGCGGTCGTTGAAGAAGTTGAAATTGTGGCAAAGGTGGTGGAAAAGGTCGCCACCATGGCGGAGAAGGTGTCGGCAGACGTGGCGGAGAAGCTTCCAGATAATGGAATATTGAAGGAAGCAGCTCTCTTTGTAGAAAATGTATCTACTGCCACTGCCAAGGATGCTGAATTGACCGAAAATTTTATTCACAAGGTTTGCACTATTAAAACTTTTTATTTATTAGATATATTTTTCACTTCTATATTTTGACCTAAATTTAATTGCGTTAGTCATTTAATCCTTACAATTTTAGTTCAATTTCAATTTAGTTCTTCCATTCAAATAATAGTCAATTTTTTTTTATGTGGACACCTCATATGACCAACACATGTATGAAAATCTTTAATTTTAGCTTCAAATTTCAATAGAATGGCAAAATTAAAACTAAATGTAAAATGTAATGACTAAATTATTCAAATTAAAATAATAGGGATCAAAGTAAATTTAAGTCAAACTACAACGTTATTTTACCCCATTTAAAAAAAAGACAAAAAAAAAAAAGGTTAAGAGTTGATTACAATAAGTGCCCATAAATTATGTGATCAGTTATACTTTAATTTTTAATTTTTTTTAATTCACTATTTTAGTTTCAAAGCATATGATTTGTTACACTTTAGTCTTTGGTAATTACTCTATGTACCCAAAGTATACTATTTGTTGCATTTTGGTCCCTAATTTTTTAATTTTACTTTGATTTTTGTAAAATTTTAAAAATAATGTTTTATAGAGAAGTGTATATTGAGTCATTTTTGACTTGAAGTTTTTATTTAATTTGGATTCACCGGTTGAGGAATTGAAGGGTGACTTGACAGACTTGGGAACAATGGTTGAGCCTGTTATTGATAAGATCATACATAGCAAAGGAACATAGTGCCAAATAGTACACAAATTAATTTCTCTATACATTCATTCTTTATAATACTTGTAATTTTCCCTCGTCAAATAAGATACTGTATTGAAAGACAGAATCTTAACTTGCTTTTTTTTTTTTTAAAACAATTAATTTGTGCATTTCTAATCATTTGTAGTTCATAAAAATGTTTATAAACACAGCTTATAAGTTGGTATGTTTTTTGGGCTTATTTTTGTGTTTAGTGAATTTTTTTCAACATTGAGTTAGAATATTTTACTTTTTAGGACTGTTTATATTAGACAATTCTAAAAATAAAAAAAATAAAAAAAATTAAAGTTAAATATATAAACTTTTTGAAAAAAAATACTGATAAATGCCCCGTGATTTTTTTTATCACAATTGAAGGCGCTTCAATTGTGATTTTTCCACATTAAAATCATTGTGTCGATTTGTCTTGATTGTTTAATTGGGACCAATTTTTTAGTCGCTAAAAACTTTCATTTTTTTTTTTTGGTAGTCTTGATGGATTTAAAAAATAACTTCTCTTTTTTTTTTTTTACTCAAAATTGAAAAAATCCACTAAAGAAAAAAAAAACCTAAGAAAAAAAACATAATTAAAAAGTTATACAAGTCAAAGGGCAATCCATATCACATAACAAAACCACAAATTAACAATCAAGATTTAATGGCCAGTCATGCAATAGACAAAGCAAGTTTTTATTTATTTATTTATATTTTTTTTATCAGCAAAAAGAATTTTATAGATGAAGAAAAACATACATACATACATATAAGATTACATCAATAAAAGAAGGGGAGTACGAAAAGTATCAAAGCAAAACAACAAGACCCTAACTAGATTGGCACCGAGAAAAAAACTCTACTCATTTGCTAGCACTACCATCAAGGGTGCGTGACAACAACAACAAACAAAAGAGCAACCAGAATAAAAAATGAAACCAAAAGAGACAAAAAAATACAACCACACCGAGACCCCAGCAGTAGCCCCAGCCAATGTTTTGAAAACCAGACAGGTGAGTGAACCAAAAAAGGGACCGAGCGGACAGATCACTGGTTCAACCGTTGAGTCGAAGCGGTCGAACCGTGACGTCATAATTAATATTATATAATTATAAATT